AAAGATCCACTCTACGTGGTATCGGGTATGGTGTAAGTGGAAACATGGCCGGATGCTCATTAAATCTGATGGGCGACGCACGGCAGCTCCCGGTTCGATTCCGTGTGCCCGTATTTTTGTTTGTCCCATTTTTAGTTCTCACCGCGACCTTTGGTGTTAGTCACTCCGGCAAAAAGCCGCGAGAAACGCACCCCAGGCGCTGGCAGTACATACCATATTGCACCAAATGTAGGAATTTACACTCGTGGCGCAACAACACTTTCAGTTATGGAAAACAAAACAACGGGCCCGGGCCTCGACGAGCGACAGGTCGGCGACGAGCGGCGGGGATTTTTGGTAACGTTCTTTTACTGTCACTACAGCCACGAGAAACGCAGGCCCCCACAAAGAACCCTCATACAACTGCGCAACAAATAAGGGATAATTCATTCCTGGTGTGATTTCAACCGCTTGGTACCAACGTCCTCCAGATGCTCCTCTGTGTTGAATTTACGCTTGGACCGATGCGGCCCATTGTGTTCGGGGGAAATACGTGCAAGCTAAGGTTGTGGAAACGTTATAAACCTCGGGTCCTCGGTTGTATAGATGTACTGACCTGTCGCCCAAAGTCGGTCTGTTTCTCTTGGAAAGAGTCATTCTTCCCGTTTGGAAACGATACCACACGTCTTGACACAATGCTTAGGTCACCTATGCCGAGGTGGGCCCAGTCTCATGTACAGAGGATATTGCCCACCTTTGCTGAATGCGGCCTCGCTTTGTCCCATCTGCGATTTTTTGACTTCAGGACTCTCGCCGTCGCCTTCACTGTCCTCGACTCGTTCAGACTCTGAACCGGGGGCTGTACGTTTGCGCCGGAAGGCCAATTTCACCCTCTGTTTCGGCTCGCCCTCGTCGTTATTTTCCACACTCATGGCAGCGAGAATCTTATCAGGCAAATCATGGTGACTTGACCAATATGACCCCCACGAGGTTGCGTTGTGGTGCGGGGCCTACAACGCTGGTGATAAGTAAGAAGTGACACAAAGAGAGGACTTGTTACTTGCCCTCGCCACCAGCAAGTCAATCAGTTCATGCCGAAGTAACGTTGGGTCACCCTTGAGTTGCCACAAGAGAAATTTGATGAAAAAGGCCTTATCGTTGGATGTAAATTTATTTCCTCCCCGATTGTGTGGCTGGAATGATTTCAGGTGGGATGGAGTAAGTGCATGCGCAAAAGTAGGCGTACTACAACTTCTGTCGGAGGACTCGGTGATCGAGAAGGCGGCTCAGGAATCCTTAGTTCAGTATTTGGAGGCGGTAGTCGTTCGGTGTATACAGGCAAGTAAGTCGTCAGGCTGTTAATAGTTCGTCGGTATCCTCCCGATGACTTGGTGCGGCTCGATTGGGCTGGTTGCAGATTACGCTGCTGTCTTGGCTGAGGGGGCGGAGGCGTGTCAGGATCCGGAGAGTATACTGCCTTGTATATCGGCTTCTTTGTTGTTTTCCTGAAAGGCTGTGACGGAGCGGCGGCCAAGTCAAGTCTATCCGTGTTGTCCAAATAATAATCCTTCCACAAGCTTGCTGAGTGACCAGATACCTATATCAAGTCAACTCATCAACTCACAGGTCGGTAAGATACATGCGAGGGAGCTCACCCCATGTAGTTGGTTGAGGGCTTCCTTGTAAGTCTCACCGTTTAAACGCCTACTGGCCAATGCTTTCACAAGGATCGGTTCATCCTCTGTGGAAACCGGATTCGAAAAAACAAAGGCGTCATGCAGCACTTGTCGGGGGAAGAATGAGGGCAGGACCATCGTGCCGTTGTGGAATCCCTGCGGCGGCAACTGGTTTGACCACGCGACACCATGCATCCAGTTTTGATTCGGAGGGGCGAATGGATGCATAGGCTGGGAAGGCTGGTAGTACAGGCCACCGGTTAGATAATCCGCAGAATGCAGAACCGGGTGGTGTTCAGAGGGGTAACCATCATTGGAGATAGAGGACACCCTTGTGGAATAGTTCATGCCTGCAGCACTTCGACTCAAGTTGCCAAAACCAAAAGGCTAGGATAATGTTTGGCGTCAAAATACAAGATCACTGTGGAACAAAGAACTTGAGGACGATGATTCCGGCATGATCGATTATCGATCAAAAAGATCCGCGACTTGTATACGCGACCGCGACGTGACGGTGGTATCCCTGCCGTTTAATCATTCCGTTATACATAATTGCCCTGCAGTGTGAACTGCACTGAGCGGAGCCTGGACACCTCTCTCCCCCCTAGTTAATCCTGTAAGTTATCATTTTTCCTTGTCATGATGCCTATCAACCTGTAATGGGTGAGGAATGAGCCGGTTTTCGTTAGTATCGTTAACGTTACAGCGTCTGTCTAGAGACTACTGTCAACCAAAGATTCGAGTAACCGACTCCGAGTAGTTGAAATGAACTCTCACTGGCACTATTAGCTCGCGATAATACGACGGGATGGCACTGGCAGAAGAACGAGCTCGGACAGAGTAAACGTGTTCATTGGTCGGAAAAATCCTATTTCGGTTGGAACGGATTGAGTCGGCTTGCTGGCTTGGGAGTAACTGAAACCGGTTCCAAAATCGGTTCCAAGCCCCAGTTGGAACCGGTTTCAAGCCACCAGGCCGACTCAATCCGTTCCAATCGAAACAGGGTTTTTCTAACACAAGCTCTGGGCAGAGCCCTATTGGTCGACCCATACACTGACTGGAATCGGACCACAACTTGAACTTGAATAGGGCGTGCCAGAGTCGTGAACATCATTTAAATGAGTATTTGGTGACGCGCACGCTTGCGCTCTCCCGTTTCCGCTCTAGACCCTCTCGGATCAATCCGATGTTGTCAACGCCCACTGAACCAAACAACGGCCGATCACTATTCCTCCTTCCAACCCGTCTCACACTCCTCAGGCTGCCCCCGACTCACGCGTCACTCGCGTTTTACTCTATTCACATCGCCTTTCTGCTCCACTTGGCCCGACTAATCCATTCAATCCACGGCCCGTTTCACTCAATTCCGCTACCTCTCCGAATTCCCGCAAATTCTCCAATTTATTCATACATCGCCTCGTCTCCTCTCTCGTGCTCGGAACTTGATAAGTCTCACTTACTATACACTTCTCTACACTGCCCTCCTTTCTACTTATCTGTATAAATACTGTAGTCACTTCTCAGTGAAAACACTTGGATTTCCCCAAGATTTTTCGCAACGTCGCTATAAGTCTAAACCTCGTCTCGCATCGCATCGCTCCGCTTCGTTTCGTTTCGTATCGCTTCGCTTCGCCTCGAACTCGGCATCATATTCCCCACACGCTACTTCTGACTTGTCAGCCGACGGGTTGCTTGTCACGGAACTGTCCCGATTGAAACACTCGCACACCTTTTCCTACCTTCCCCCTTGCCGCTCACTCTACCTATTTAGGGTTTGTTCGCGCTTGGACGGACGGTTAGCACGTCATTGGGCCGCATAAAGAATGACGACTCGGAGTCCAAGTGCGAAGGCAGACTTAAAACCCCTCAAGCTCGACGCGACCATCGCGATAAAATTTCCTGCTACAAGAAGAAAGACAGCTAGTAGTTATCCAGTACCGAACGCTAAGGATGTGCTGATATGACAACGAGCAGCAGGGACTCTATTACCTATGCTCCCGAACGCTCAGTACAGAACACAAAGAAATGAGCACACTGTTGATAGAGCTCATTCTCGCCAAGTTCAGAAAAGACGGGATTTTTGCTGTCAAACATGCGAACAGGAATGATCATTTCGAAGTAAGCGGTAAATAAACCCTCTACCTACTATACAAGCTAATCCGTGACGGTAGTAGTAGGGGAGCCCAAAGTTTGAGAGCTATGTATTTCGTATATCCATTCACACACTGCGACACAGCCCCAGCAAGCAGAAGGCAGGCGGCAAAGTGGCAAAACATAAGAACTAAGTAATAGTCAAAGGCATATACCAGCGGCTCGGAAGTACACTCTGAGTACCAGCCGTCACTTCGTGGAGCTACCATCGAGAACTCATACACACCACGCAAACTCGGACGACGCGAAGGGCAGCTCAACGGAAGTCAGCCTGTGTTGCCCATTTACAACACAAAGATTGACACGTACTTGAAACTAGCGCTGGCTTGATATTTTATTTTGAAGATTTGGTCACTTTATGATTGAAAATTGAAGTGTTGACAGTGTTCGCACATAGCCTGCAAGATGTGGATGATGACCGCGAAGTGGACGGTGGAACGATGATCATTGGCTGGTCCCCTATCTGCTTGCATAGTAAAGATGGGTTGTATGAAAACAATGGAAAATCTTACCGTGAACTTCATGAGAGGAGTTATCAACTTGCCCCCAACCAATAGAGTCGGGGGATCGACCTTTGGTAATTCCGGTTTGGAGTTTTCCATGTAATGTGTGGTAGGAGCCGCTGAACGACGGCAGGATCCGGAGTAAGACAGGAAATCGGAGGCGGCACAATGAGATGATGGCAACTGTGTGTAGAGCGAGAGATTCATGTTTGTTTGGACAGGAACAAAGACCGTCCTTTGAATGTAAACCGGTCCGGTTACTGCCGAGCGTCTGCATCAGAGGATGTAATACATCCATATGGCCACAAGTGGTCTTCAAGGACAGCCTCCTACTAGCTAGGGTCCGGGACCCCTTGATCCACTTTTCTGACTTTGTTCAAAAGGCTTCAAAAACGCGTTTAGGAGGTCAGAAAAAAAATCGGATTTTTTGAGGGTCAGACTGGAGAAGGGAGTGAATTTTCCGGTGCGAGAGATGTCCGATCATGTTTGTGTTCAAACGCCACATTCGCTATGCATGTCCATTTTTGATCTCAATCCACTGAAAAAAAAATGATTTCGAGGGGAAAATCCGTGGGAAATTGACTAATGGGGCTCGGCTAATAGGTAGGTCCTGGGGGCCTTGATCCACTTTTCCGACCTAAATTTTGAGGGTGAAGACCTCTTGTATGGCCATCAATCATGCAGCAGATATGGCCTGGTGGTGTATGGGTATCACACCCGCTTTCAATTTCAAGAAGGCCAGCGGAGGTTCCCTGTTCGATTTAGGGTTGGGCCATGATTGCTGGTGAATGAAAATAAAATTTCTCGTCATGCTCGGTTTGAATTTTGGTGATTCGTTCTGCCTTTTATTGAGAACAGTTCACTTCGAATAAGCCCAAAAGGGAGCTCTCTTCTTTCTTCTGGTGGACAGTGGCGAAGCGCTGTTGAAGTCAAAAAATGCAAGTGGCCACTCTAACACGTGAATCACGGCGGTGGCTATGACTTGGTGCGAGAGGTCACTTTTCGGCTTGCTAAACAGGCTTGGGTCTGGTAAAAATGACGTGGCAGGCACACCAATTGATGTGCACCGGTGCAGCGTTGATGCAGCATTTGTTGAAATTAATGGTGATCCCCGTAGACTTATAAATGCACTCAAATTACACTCAAGAGCATGAATGACTTAGGAGGTCTGTAAAATCCTTTTAATTCACTCCTTGCTGCCTCGCCGCCACACAGATGCCACTCCAACGCCATGGCAATGCGCGTCAGTGCTGCATTAGTGCCACATCACTGCACATCAATGCCACATCTGTGTGTGCTAATACCACACCAATGCATGCTAGTCCCTGGTGTCCTTGGATGGATAGCTAACATCAACCATTGTGAACCTCCAAAGATGGTTACAAGTTAGATTTCTCCAACTTCAATCTTCAGTGTGTCTATTACTAGTCTCTTATAAACAGACGCTACAACAAAGCTTACTCATACCTCATATGTTCACACCCCAGAGCACCCCAGATCGGGTATTATGTACGAACCTCTTAGGGGTGTTGTTGTGTAGTGAATAAAGAGGCATGCCGCTGGGGGAGGGGAGGTTACTAATGCTTCTGTTAGGGTGAGTGCCTCCAGATGTACCAGAGGCAGGCTTTTTGGGCCTTTTTTATGCAGCGCACACCCGTTTACAAGACTGCATTCATAAAAACAATTTACAGGATGTATAGAGATAGTGATTGCCCACAATCACATTGTGCAGCACCTTCGTGTTCACGTTTGCATCAGCGGGGGCAGGTGTGAAAGCAGTGTTGGTGTGGCCATCTGCTTATTTGTGTGCAGCCTATTGGAGGTATTGCAGGGCGCAGGGCAGCGGCATTCACACCCCAGGGCACCGGGTGGCGTCGGCCCACGCCATGGATGGCATTTTCAAGGTGAGGGTGTGCAGTGGTGCGGCGCGGCACATGGTTCAAGGGTATTCGAGGTGTAGCGGTGGCGGTAATCACAGCATGGTTGATCACACCATGAAGTGGTGATGGATGGGCTTGAAGCACCGGTGCAGCTGCTGCAGCGGTGCGACACATAGGATACGGTGATGGGTTTGATGCGGGTGCTTTGTGCACAGTGCACCATCCAGCAGCACCGGCCCATTGGCGTTGGTGGTTGGTTGGGGCAGAAGTACGCACAGCATGTGCATGGTTGTGGGAGCAGATTTTTGCAGGGGTGTCGGGGCGGCTTAATATCTTACAGCACCTACTTTTGAAGTGGCAGCAGGGTAGTTTTTAAAAGTATTTGAGTATGGGTGTTGGTGCCATGCCTTGAAGACTGTGGATTGCGCTGCATGAATAAGTATAGATCTTATAAGTCAAGTACCTTTTGAAATTCTTACCAGATTGGCCACCCCCAACTCCGAATGAACATTATAATAGTATGACAAACATAAGACAACCCCTTATATCAGGTATCAGGTGCAGTGGAGGCGCAGGAGGCAGCATTGGAAGCTGAACCACTAGGATGCAAGTCAAGTCATGATGATGATGATGATGAAATCAATTAACGTGCTCGAGTCGCTGTAAGCGACTATGGTACACGGTAATATCCTAGGACACGAGACTGTATGTATGGTAGGTTTACTATCAATGGGTAGGGCATGGCAAGATCGAATGGAAAGGCTGTGATGTTAAGCACCAGGTTACTCCTCAGCTTCCCAGTCCCTGGGTGGGACTGGGAAGAGAGGGCCTGTGGCTGCGTAATCAACCACAATGTGACGCAGAACGGACTGTCGGACTGGACATGCCAGATCCGTCGCTCGGTGAGAGCCGCCACAATTGCGGAGAGCACATTTAATCATGAGGTGGGGGCATTTGGCGTTGGGGTTACATGGTTTCGGATTGGGGCAGGGGCAGTCGTGGGTGGGATGAGCAGAAGTGCAGGTGCCACAAACAGCAGGATGTTTGCATTGAGACGCTATGTAACCAAAGGAGTAGCAGTTAAAGCATTGTATAGGCTGGGGGCTGTACTTCTCGATACGACGCAGGTGACCCCCGTGGGCCAGCCCGTGTGTGATTGCCCTGTTGGCAGCCACTGCGTTGCTGAAATGAATGACCAACGAGGAGTGCTTCTTGGCTGCTCGGAGCTCATCACCAGATCGATGGCCAATCCACTGCACTCTTGCCACATCCAAGCTCTGCATCTGGTTGGCATCAATCATCTCCGCAATATTATTGTCCCGTTCCAAGTCGTCATCGCCTGGTGAAAGGCCTGTACCAAGCTCAAAGTTGGTAGAGACCCGGTGCATGACTACAGGAAAGGAGGGGATGCGGAGTCGGAATAAGCCAGAGAAGATCGGGAGCCAGTGGTCAGCGTTGTCGGCGAGACAGGCAGCTGCCCAGGCAGTGTGAAAAGTGAGGCGGATGTCGCCGTTGCGATATTTGGAAACTGCGTGTACGAGGGGCATCTCAGTGTATTGGTTCAGATGGTGTGATTCAGTGATGAGTGCGTTAAGCTGCTGCTGGATGGCATGGTGCGTCTCATTCGCGAACACCTTGCTTCGGCGGTCTTTCGGCGTAAGGGTGATCTCATGTGATGTGTCACAAGGGATTCGGGAGCGGACCAGCGACGTGGCAGGGTACGACGCTGCAACGGAAGCATAGGATTTTGGAGGGGGAGGCCAAATGTGGGTGTTGTTTGTAGGTTCTGTGGTGAGATGGAGTCGAATTTAGAGGCGAGGGCATCGAGTTTGGTGGAAAGGGATAAGATGCGATTGGAGGCGGCTGAAGAGCTGGGATTCTGAAGGAGGGCGGCTACTAGAGCCCGGATGGTGTTCCAGTCATCTATGGGTACAGAGCAGGTTTTCGCAGAGTTGGATTTGGGCAGTTTAACATCATGGATGGCTTTGTGGAGGTCTTGGAGGGTGGGCAGATTTGCCGCTGGTGGCTGTGGTGGCGGTAGTGGATCAAGAGCAAGTCAAGTCAGATGGCTTTTTCCACATTCGATCCAATTTAGGACAAGTGTTATCATGTCATGCTGGTATTAGAGTTGACATAGGCAAAACCACAGCGGGTGTATAGGCATGCTAAAGTAATGAAGGCACGATTTATTTGACTCGATGTGTGTTGCCAATTGTGTCTCAGACTTCCAGTTATACATATCAAGAGGGCTGCGCTTCAAGGCTACGCCGAATTGGAGGTATATATGAACTGGCTCCATTCAGTTTGTGTCCCAGATAATTATGATCAATGAGCCCTCGTTTTAACTTGAGACACCAAGCTGGATTTGACATGCCTAGTTCAATTTAACGCGTTGTAGCGCACTTGGCGGTTTCCCATCATAGTTGTAGCTGTTACGTTCAGATGTCTATAGTGGGCAATCACATTGGGTTTCCTTCCTCTGTTTCCACCCTCCCGCTGTGAGCCCTGCTGGCTCATCTCCCCCGAGAGGCCCCAGGCCCTCTCCAGCATGTGCTACACCATGCAGGCTGACATGAGCAACAATTAATCATCATTAGGTGCATAGCTTCTCTTACCAGTACAATTCCTAAATATTGAATGGTGCCTGCAGACACGGGCTGCAATTCAAGAAATGGAATTGATTTTGGAGGGAGGGTACTGGATATTGATACGTATATGTATTTTCAACGTACATACCAAATATTCCCCGCTCTCTCATGGTTCGGAATTCCCGAGTCAACACTCATGACACGAGGTCCTCTCTGAGCCGTAGATGAGTTGGAATGACTCACAACGTAGAATTAGTATAAATACACCAGCAATACTCTGTAATACGGGCGACTACTTGAATACAACTCTCATCTCCACTCCCACTTTTCTGTGTGAATATCTTTCTGAGGCCCACGTCGCTTGCAGCCTTCGTCGTTTCACAAGGCCAGCGTCTTGCAGCCTTTAAGTATTGAGGGCTAGCATCGTGCAGCTTTCAATCAACTCTCTGGGAGGCCTGCGTCTTGTAGCCTCTAACAGTAATTGGTCACCGAGCCATCATGTCTTGTGCGCTCGGTTATTATTGTTAAACGGTCAATCCTAGGACTCTCTTATGGGGATTTCCTGAACTCTCAAGGACTGCTCGCAAGCTGAGTAGGTATATATTTTATACTCAGGTTTCTACGTGTGGACTGTGTAAAACGGCTCTGATCCTTAACAGGTACACGGAGTTAAGATATTGAGGAACACAAACCTAGGTGATGTGACATGTACAGAGATTGCCAGTGTGTATTTGACTTGTATGATTATCTTGTTGAAATAATCAGCAAGCCGATGCTCTGAAATGGGCAACAGTTAACAAAGAGATGCACAGCTTGGTGATGCTGTGCTTCAGCTGGTCTGGAACACACTGTTCACTGTTTATGGTTGTATCTCCAGTGTTCACGAGGGTATAAAAGGCCTCTCAGTAGACAGAGTAATTGGGATCTTGATATCCTTGCTTCTCCCCAGTCTTTTGGATACCCCATTCTCACATATCTTATCCATGGTTCCACTGTTGACGAGCTCGATGTGCTCAAACTTCTGGTGTGCGCGAGGATGGGGCGTAGCTTTTGTAGTAAGTGAGTATGCAGGCCCCAGAACTTATTTGAACCTGCCGCTCTCGACCATCTCTGCACAATTTAGAGCTTGCCGACAAGTTCAATAATTGGCGAGAAGAAAGGCTAGTTCTTGTGGTTCTTGAGACATGCGGGATGTATAGTGATTATCACAAAGGCTGAAGAAATCAAGATATATGAGTTCAGTGAAGCGGCGGATAAAGAGGAAGTGGAAGGAGGCCCAGAAGCCTCACCCTGTCAAATATCCCCAT